CTGCCCTCTCAGAACTCTGACAGTCCCTGCCCCTTTTCTCTCTGGATGACCTCATCAGCAAGGTGACAGTTTTCTGTCCAGTTCCTAGACTAGGAGAAAAGTTGAAGCTCCCTGGGAGGGAGCACTCCGAGATCCTTATGATTTCTATCTCCCCAAGACCTATAGTAACCCTCCCAGGCCTTATTCCACTCCTCAGGGCAGGGCTGAAAGGTGAGCTCAGGGCACTGGAATCTGGGCTTGGGGTGAGGTGGGGGGAGTTTGGGGGTGGGCCCTGATTGGTTGATAGTGGACCACGCCCACTACCCCCCTTTTCCCTCCCTCCTTCTCTCTGGGAAGCGGAGGAGGGGGCATGTAGGGAACCGGGACCAGCCAGGGGACGGAGGGGGCCAACATGAGCCAGAGGGAGGGAAACAAGGGTAAGGGACTTCTGGGTCTTGGAAAAATTGGGTCTAGAAGAGAAAGCCGGGAACCGGGCAAGATTGCAGGTTAATAAAAAGAGCAGAGTTGGGACCTACAAGTTAGGTGCCTGGGGCTGTAATGGAATGTCTGTCTGTGTTCTGGAAAGGAGAGCTTAGTGGCTAAGGAGCCAAATGTATGGATTCTGAGAAAGGAAAGGAACCTGATTAAGAAAATGGGGAAGGGCTTGGAGGAGGAAAATAAAAGAATAGAACTTGAGGTGGAAGTGGGGCTGTGGAAGTGAGCTGGGGAACTAGACACTTCATATGTTGGAGGGGGAAAGAGTCTGGGGTTGAAAGTCTTCGGCAAAAACACCAGACTCTGGCTGAGGAGTAAGAGTCTTAGAGTCTGAATAGAGTAGGAGGGCCAATTAGTGACTAGGTGGGGGGACTAAGGTGGGGGAGAGTAGGATGCAAGGAAGATCTTCTCTCTTTATAAAGGAGAACCAGAGCTAGGTGATAGGCTACTTGAGTTAAGAGAGGGAGGGTGTTGGGAAGAAAGTTGGGGAGTGTGTGTGTGTGTGTGTGTGTGTGTGTGTGTGTGTGTGTGTGTGTG